AAGATTTCCTACAGATGAGTATAATCATTCTTTTCCATTAGCTTGTGATAAACTCATCTCTTTATAAGCTGCAGTCGAGAATGGTTTGATCGAAATACCACTTGGTAAGTGCATTTAATATATTTGTTTGATGAAAGATACACGATCATAAAAATGTTTTTCCACAAGTATTCTTGTCGTGTGCATGTTATTGGCAATGACAATTATCTGCTATTATCAAAGAGTTTAAAAACGTATTATTTGTTCTGATCTGTTAGATTTAACACAGCTTCAGCTCGTAGCTTGTTGATTTCTTCTTTACGTTTAATTATCTGCTATTATCAAAGAATTTAAAAACGTATTATTTGTTCTGATCTGCCCTAGGTTTAACGTAGTTTCAGTTCGTAGCTTGTTGATTTCTACTTCTTGTCTTTTTTGGGATAATAATGATAATAATAGTTTATTAATATTTCTGTCACAAATCATTTCAATATTTATAGTGATGTATACAAATTTTCAGATTTCAAACCAAAATTGACCCATGAGACCCATATCAATTTAAAGTATTCTGGCAGAGGTGAGACACGTATTCACGCCTCCGAAGAGACTAGTGTCTAGATCAAGCGCCTTTGGCCGATCGGCCACTCTACTTACCAGGTCGAAACTATTACAACGTAAAATATTATCGAGAATGTCAACGGCTGTAACGGCTATGTAGTAAAGTCGAGAAATTAAGAAAAGGGTCTATGGAAGTTTAATTATATTGGTTGGAAGAAGAGTTCAGTGTGCTGAATATTATTAACTTTAAAGATCCATCGATAGCAAAATATCTATTGTCGCTGTAGTCGTAAATTGCCCTTCATCATTGGTTCATTCAAGTACAGTGGACAATCTGAAATTTTGATTAATAAATCCAGTACTAACGATACAGTGCAATACATTGGTAGCAGTAAGTATTTCATAATGAAAAGTGGTATCAGGTGCCTAGACGAGTAAGCATACCCTGTTGGTGCGACACCATATTATATGAAATTCACCATTACCCATTTCCTTCATACGGCCATGTTTATCACCCAACAATTTATATAATGGTTCTATCATCTAGAAATCAGTAATAAAATTCATGTCAGTACACGGAATTTGATTAATGGTTGATGGCATCTCTCAATATTCATCGAATTACCAATTCCACGCCAGAACTGTGAATGTCATGCAAATCAATTATAGACAATTCCACACAATAACAACACCAGTGACTGCCTTGCTGCCTTCGTGCTTCATTTTTATTTTTACTGTGCTGGTGTAATGGACCATGTTCTGACATAAGGAGTAGTTTGCTATTATTGATATAGGCAGGCACTTCCTTGTCTTCGTGCTTCATTTTTGTTACTGTGCTAGACTTAATTCTGAAAAAAAAAACCGGTAGGCTTTTATTGCATAAGGCACCATTTGGTAAGTGTTTTCAGTTTCGCCGTAATATTCTACAAAACTTCATCTATAGAGCCACATCAAAATTCTTTCTATTAGAATTTGTCGTAGGCCTATGTGTCAAATGTAGCATTGAAACGAATTGAAATATCGACAAAGTTTGATTGTACGATGTTGTAAGGAACAGGTCCCAGTGTGTGCAGATTTTGATCTTTTTCTAGAAGGGGTGCTTAAAAAATCTAGGGTTTTTATTTGTTGATGCTTGTATCAATAAGTGTCTCAAAGCATAGGCGTAATACCGTGGACATGTAAATTGGTAACGTTAAACTCTACATCATGATATGCATCCTGAAATTTGTATGTGATGATTAAAAGTCTTTATTAAGTAGAAAGCATTTGTACTGAGTACGCATGACAATGTGGCAGCCATAAAAAATATATGAATTAAAAAAAAACGCTTTCTGTATAACATTGTTACAAAGTGTGATGCTTCCGAGACAATTGCCATTATTTTAGTAAGGTATTTGTAAAGGGATGTGGTCTTTTAAAAACAATTCTGATGTAGATCTAGCCTTAGACTTCACACCCACGCCATTTGTTTTTGACCACTTTACATTTTGCAACAATAGCACTTATGTCCTAGAAATTAAGGGTGAAAATGGCCCACATTGTCTGTACCTTCATTTTATCAAAAATGATATTCATTGAATTACATTTCCATCGGCCTAGGGCCTTGATAAAGTCTCTACTGAGAAAATGATCAGCAAAATGCGACATTGAAAACACTATAATGGCAATATCTGATAAGCTCTTTCAGCGAGTCAAGGGAATTCCTTGTCGATTGCATCCCTAAAGTATATAATGCTCTTAAGACAACAATATTTTTACAATATATGCTGCTTCAGAAATAAAAGATTCATTGTATTAAATATTGATTCGATCTAATAAAGATTCTCTTGGGTTTCAAAATATTAAAGTTTTTTTCATATTGTTCTATTTCTAGACCTACACAATAAACACAATGGTATTGTAGTTTTTTAACACAATTAAACTGCACGGCATGTGGAACTGTTAAGAATTGTTTTTCGTTTTACTGGCGATGTTTTTTTTTTCATTTTGGCATTGATGCATATTAGAAATATTCAATTCCACAAAGGTAAGCAACTTCCTTGGTTTCCTTTTCAACCTACGAAATAACACATCTAAAAATTAAAGCTTAAGCTCTTTAAAAAAATATGTTCAACAATGTTTGTTAAACCATGACAACGAGTGGAAAAACGAACCTTTGTGAACTGTTTGCCCAATTCAACCTAACTTTTCTGGGCCCTGATTGAAGCTTGTTATCTGTACATGGAAATTAAAATTAAATAGAGAAAAAGCCACATCACCAATTTGTGTTTCGGATTCAAGACACTTTCGATCGACTCTTGAACATAATATTGTCAGGAAGTTTCCCATTCTATATTTAACCGGAAGTTATTGACGCCATAGTGTCGCTGCTTGTAGTATCGCAGTAAATGTCAATATTGATGGAACGAAAATCAACTTACCACTTCCGGTAAATCTAATAAAGTAGGTCACATAATCTTGCAAAGGATATTGATTGGAAGTTCTCTCTCTATATATATATTTTTTTTTAAGCAAACCCTTAGCTTGATCTTCCAATATTAGACTTTTCAGCTTAATAAATATGAGCAGTAAGCAAGCAATAACGACCTTCGACTTATGCTTTGTCTCCAATAACCGCCTTTCTTGTATCAAGAAATACATCGATTTGATTGGATTGTACGCCAGTGAAAACGCCCAAAGCCCAATAATGAACAATAATCGGATTATAGAGGGATTTTTTTGTATATATGACACCAGGTAAATCAATTGATGAACAAAGACTTATTTTAAAGTTTAAAAAATTCAACCTCTTGGTCATCCTAAGAGGTAGTGTACCTTTAAGCTATAAAACATTGCCTATTGTTCTTTCTCACAATGCCTAGATCCTGATATAGTTTTTCCCGTGTATGTCTTCATGTAAATTCAATAACTAAAATAAATGTTTTTTAAATCACACGCCTACGGTTTCAAGCGTAACAAAGAGTTCAAAGGTAGCCTATACTTTTTATTGATTTGAAGAATATCGTATCAATCATAAACAATCGATTATAAAACGACGATTCCAATTGGATTGATATGAAATATTCATCTTACATCAATAGTTTCGTTCCGTAGTATGGATATTAGTAATATGTAGTATAAGTAATAGCTATTGTATTCCTGGTTTGTCGCTTTTGGATAAGCAAAAGTTTTAATGGATAAGGGAGTTATTTTCTAAAATTTGACGTTTTTCGCACTTGGAAGAAAACGGACTTACTGAATTGGAAAATATTGCATCGTATGTAGACTTGGTAACTGTGTATTATATTGATATATAAATTTCTATATCGTCTTTTCCAATGAGTTCTATGCCGTGCTATGCTCTTCGTATTAACATGTAATGCAATCGATGCTTTATTCCAAGTGCATCATTCTGTTACACTTTGTCATATATTTGTCACGTTATGCTTTTGTTCTGTACCTATGTGATGTGATGTCATGTCAAGCTATGTCGCTCTGCTATACTAACCCTTGTAGTAGGATGTCCTGTTATGTTTCACTTCCGAACAAAGTTGCACTGTCCTGTATGTGTCTCAATTGAATATCAAACATAATGTTTCTCTATGTTGACTGGAAACAAGATCAAGAGAAGATCAGTTTTAACCCAATAATATAGGCTATATTTAATATTTCTACTTTCTACTTCCAGATATCTGATTTGTAAATGGCTTGAGTGGATGTAGATAGAAGTATTTAGATCAATTTGAACATTTCTTAACTGATTTTACCTTGTACTTACCAGTACAGTTTGTCTTCCTCAATCTAAAAAGTGTCCTTACATAGTGATTTTATGTGTTGTTTTGAAGGTGTATGTAATAATACATCAACACGATCTGCAAGATTCCGGGTTCTGTTGCTTTAACGCGTTATGTGGTTTGCCTTCTTTACATATTGGCCTTTAATGATGCATTCGAAAGGTCTGTCGGACGCCGACACAACTAAAATTTGGATGGAAAAGCTTTACGTGAAATTCCAGTTAAGTTTGTTTTCCTAATACAGCTTTTATGCTAACGGTGAGAGGATGATGTGCCGCAAATATCTACTTACATACATAGCATTGTACATCAATATAAATCCCATTCAATTGAACAATCTCTCTAACATTATAACATTATACGGTTTAAGGAGTCATGTGCAGATGTAAAAAGCTGATGAGTAGACGGTTTTTATTATCAGTTCTCTCCCTTGTTATTAGTATCCACGTGATTTACTATTTGATAACTACACTCCGAGGATTTCCTTCCGTTTCTAGTCCAACTAGAATTGAATATTCCACTATCTGTAGTGACTCATTAACTGAAAGACTGGCATCAACTATACAAACTACACCAAGCTTTGTAATTTGGGAAAGACCGGAAGATAACCCAAAATTCTTTGTGCCCCAGAAGACGAGAGTTACGCCCCTTGATTTTAAGATTATTTTAAGTAGCGACATGTGCAAAGATATGCCATTTCTAGTGATTTTGGTGTTATCCGTACATCATCGTACTGAAGAGAGGCGCGTTATTCGAGAAACATGGGGCCGTGTTGCTCACGGGCAATCATGGCCGGGGAAGACTATCCCTGAAAAAATAAAAATTGTGTTTCTGTTTGGTTTACCTCAGGTTCAAATTAAGTATAATACTGAATTGGTGAAAAGGGAATCCGAGGTACACCGTGATATAGTAATGTTTGAATTTAGCGAAACCTATTTTAATTTAACTCTTAAAGTGTTAATGGGATTTAAATGGATTAAGGAATTGTGTCCAACAACTCAATTCGTTATGAAAGCCGATGAAGACATTTTCGTGGACGTTCCACAACTCGTTGCACGACTACATACGCCAGAATGGACAAACAAAATCTCCGGACTCCTATTCACAATTGATAAAACTCATCGCAAAGGAAAATATCGCGTTTCAGAATCCTTGTATCCATTTCAGTATTATCCACCTCATGTGAAGGGCAACATCTACGTTATGCCAACGGACATTGCCATGAAACTTTTAAACATTTCGGAATACATGCCTTATTTGAACATGGAAGACGTACACATTACCGGAATACTCGCTATTGCTGCGAAAGTTAACAAATATCAAAGACTGTTGAATGAAGAATTCAGTCCTATGGGTTTGATACGAAGTTGTGACTTCAGTCGGCGAAATATGATTGCTGCTGCCTTTATCAGACCTCAACAGGCTCGGGATATATGGACTTCCATTGTTAATCCCAAAATATGTAATCCTGGTTGATTGCATTTATTACGTTGGTCTAATCGTAGACCCAGAGCTGTTCACGGGAACAACTACTTCAAACAACAACTTTCAAATTCCAATTCATAGAAAAAGGGACATTTGCGCCATTTTGAAGGTTGATTTGAGTCTTGAATATTTGTAAATAGTTTTCAAAAGTACTAGAAATGTACGAAAGTCGCATAATTCCTTTAAAAATATCTCGAACTGGGAATTTCTTTTCCAACAGATGTCTTTTCTATATATGGCAGTGTCTCAAGAAAAGACAACTCGTCTTTTTAACTTTTAAACGCGAATAGTTCTGGACATACACGGATTTCAAGGATTTTCTAGGTATTTCCCCAGATCAATAGTTTGTACTACAAATTGCACAAACTTCATTGATTTCAAAATGTGATTTTTATACGTTTCTGCCCCAAAATATGTGTCGGAATACACGGAAATTAATTCTATTTTTCAAATTGTTTTTTTTTAGAGTAGAAGATCCTCAGACGCCATGCACTGACTGCCCCTATTTAGAATCTCAAAGCCAACAGTCCTCCACCATTGAGGTCGTCTGTCCCATATTTCTAACCCCATTTTTACGAGGCTGTTACCGCCACTGAATCAAGGGATGTATACTTATTGACCAGTTAATTAAGATGAGTGTGGATAGCATGAGTAGTGTCGGACTTACGAGAAGTATATAAGCGAAGGGACAGACCACATTATTTTCTACCTACCTACCTCCCACATTATCGGTGATGAATTGCATGCGAATAAGATAAGAAGATTCACTGTACAAGTAGGTCAATTAATAGGCCTATAATGGAAATTGGATTCACACAGAAAGAATTGAGTCCTTTACGTCGGTTATCCATCTAGAAATATTACATAATATACCAGTTCTACTCCTTGGAAGTGATTAGATACGAAATTAGATAATCTTCATTAGCCCGTAGGCCTAGTGCGTAAAACTTCATTTATTTCATTTAAGTTTTGACCTATGCCGGGATTGAACCATGGTCCTTCAGGTTAGTGAGAGAGAGTCTTTGACAATAATTTGGTATCCCTTTACCTTTAGCGTGGTAATCTAAGTACATGTTCACATCAGAAAGCACTATTTGTGTTCGAATAGAATTTTAGTTTAAAAGAGTTATGTCCCTTTACTGAAGTCTGGAAAAGGAGGTAACTTTATAATATCCAATACGTCGTAACAGAAGCAGGTCTTCGATATATTTTTATCAATAGATCAAACAGAAGAAAACTCCATACCAAAACATTTCTTGTACGTACACTTACATTAGACATTATACATCGTCTAAAAAAAATTTCCACTTTCGAAGAACTGTTTCAGTAATGGCTAATAACAGATTTAATGTACACCTTTTATCCTACTCCAGAGAACGTCGAGTTGAATTTATTAGAAGAAATCAATGTGGTGCAGACGAAAACTAAGAACGGTGTGGTATTGTTTTTTTGTCCTTTGACTTTATTGCAGTGAGATAATATTTTTTTTAGACCGATTTCCATTCATTGATTATCATAAAAAAAACCAAACTTTTCTTTAAGAAGAAAGCATTGATTGAATAAAGCATCTCGTCACAGAGCAGGTGAGTATTGTCAGTGTCACTGTGAAGGCCAGTTACTGAAATAGGCGCTACAATTTTTTCGGCAACCCTCGGTCCGTCTCAAACGCCATAGTCACGTAAATATGACAGGTACGGAAGATAATAAGTAGCCATAAGATATAACTTTACTATGCGATAGCACTACACAGCATTCAGGGAGGGAGATAACTCTTTTTAAAAAACGAGACCACCTACGCAACAAAATATTAGTAATGCGACTATTTCAGACATCAAAATCCAAATCTAGGCCAAAAATATGCAGGTAAAAACGAGAAAGAAGCGAATGTGTAACAATACAACTGACTTGGCCTACTAAACTAAAGTACCTGCCGAATTTTTAAGTTGTACGAGTCCATACTATTTCATTGTTTATTAGGCTACTCAATTTTGCAATATTTAACTCAGATAGTAATATGTGCGTTATGGTCTATGACATAAAATACAGTGTCATGATGACCCTACGCTAGTCTACGTCTACCTATCATTTTTTACAGGTTGTTGGGTTGGGGGATTAAATAATGGATTTAATCTCCGAAAAAAACAATTGCTATTTAATTAAGCTATAATCTATGTCAAATCCACAATAGGTCAATAATGACCAGCCTTAGTTTACCGGTATATCAGAATTGATTGGATTCTATATATATCCATGAAGTCCATAGCGCGTGACAACGTGCATGGAGAAAATGCAGGTACTCACAGTGAGCAGTTCGAGTAAAGGGTCAGTTTACATTGCGTACATCGTTCTTGTTGTCCAGGGTTACAAAAGGGTATTTGCCTGTTTGATAATAACACGATAATTAATTCGAAAGGAAGTCAAATGCCAAGCTTCTTGCTGATGATAGAATGGTAAGATGTCTGTGTTGTTACCTGGTTACTATGACAACAACTGTAGTAAGATTTGTATAGTATAGTGTAAATTAGCGATGGAAATGTGGTCAAGAAATCGGAGGATTTTTATGATTTAATCTTTGGGTTTATCTGGTGAAAGTAAGTGTTGTTTTTTTTTAGCACAGTAGAAGGCCTCTAGTCCATATGACACAATAATGTATTTACAATTATAATACATATTATAAGATTATATTGGTAAATCAATTCATGTTTAAACAAAAATCATTCTAAAAGACAAACTATATTGCATTTCTTTTAACAGACTATTTCATTTTTTTCTAACACATACTTTCTTCTACATTTTTCCCCTCTAATAATAAATTCTACCAAGTTTGAACTTGGGTAAGCTTATCTCATATTCCATATGAAAAAATTGTACCTGTTTCGTCACAGTGCAAGTATACTGATCTCGGGTATTTGTACAATAGACCACCCATAATAAAATGTAATTATTCATCTTCAATAGTAGCACTATGCGATATGTTTCCACGCCCAGTTATGGAAACCTGCTCTAAAACCTGTTATGATCACTAAATGATTTCTTAAGAAACAACAGTTTTTATGGATATAGACTTCTATTTATTATTAAACACAACGTTTTATTACACATACAGGTAACGTTATCAAGTGCTTATATATGATTTCTGTTATTAATAGCGCTTAAACAGTCCTTACATTTCAACATTAGTTGATATTGATTATAGTATGTTTTTTAATTCAAAATTCTGGAATTTTCACCCGGATGAATGTTACTTTTCACCCGGGTGAACATACAAGTTTTTAATTCAAAATTATGTTTTATAATTATATTCCATTTTTTTAATTCAAAATTAAAAAAAATACATGATGTCGTTTACGAACCACCGTACGTTAATACAATTGCAATTGAACATATCTAAATATTTGTTATACACATATCTCCATATCTAAGAACCTTATGTCAGGATAGAAGTTATCATTCCATCAAAAAAAAAAACGAAGAGTTTTGTATATTAGCGAAAGTTTTACATCAGGATCTATATAAACTATTCATGGCCTTTTCACCGCCTCTTCTAAATACTACAATTTTAGTTTTAGCTTAATTTATCCTCATTCCATAACCTATACAAAATGACTGACACAGTCAATTTGTTTCTGAAGCCACAGCAGCTATCTGCTACATTGTCTTCATAAAGAAGGCTCACTATTTTATCTATATCTTGGTTTACAAAAATACCACAACATTTTTCTATCTTTAGCATTTGTAGAAGCTCATTTAAAAGTAACGTAAACAGAAGAGGACTGATCATGCAGCCTTGACGGGTACCGATACAACCGTTGAAGAATTCAGATAAAGTTAGTTTTCCAACTTGGACACAAGATTTTGACTGACTGTACATTGATGAAATAACTCTTAGAAAACCATTTATATCATTTTTCAACAGAACATATTTTAGTAAATGGGGTTGCATAATATCGTATGCTTTCGTGTTATCAATTAATAAACAATAAAACGAAACATTTCTGAGCCAGATTGTGTAGTGTAAAGATTTTATCTATATTACTATACCCTTTTCTGTATTGTTTTGTTTTCTTAATTTTATTGATCGGGAACGCAGCGACCTGCTATTCCTGCACACCGATTATTTTGTATGCAGTAGAGCATGAATGAAGACTTGACTAATGACGATCCTCTAAACACATCACATGATAAACGGTTATAGGGCTGTAAATATTTTAATATCAGATACAAGTCACATACTTGGAATATAGTTGGTAAGTAGGAATTAATATTCATTATTTATCGCGCTTAACCAATAAACAGAACAAATCTGAAGCATTTCTATAGTATTTCGTGATTCGTGTCCATAACAACTTTAGGAGTGAAAAGATGAATTACGGGCAGTGGCTCAACTAGATAAGCGCGGGCCCGTGGACTTATGTGGGTTTCTCTCCGAAAATTTCTTTTTTTGTTGTAACATTTGCCCTCATGCATTCTGATATCCTTCTGTAAGTCAATTTAAAGATTTAAAGATTTAAAGTTTTCAGTCTGTGGAACATACATGGTTCCCTTGGTTAACCTTGAATAACCATTTTATACGTTCACGTGAAAATGGCGTTGTCCCTGTCCGTCAGTCCGTACGTCAACATTTCTTGTGGGCACAATAGAGACTGCAGCTTCCATCTGATTTGATCAAACTTGGTGTGAGCATTGGAATTGATAGAACCTCAGTCAAGTTCGAATATATGAGTTTTCGATGACAGCATTTTGAGTTATCGCCCTTGACTTAGCAAAATCGCGTCAAAATTTGTTGGTGGGCACAATAGAAGCTTCAATTTTCAATCGATTTTGACAATACTTGGTGTGATCACGGGACGAATTTGACAATTTTTCAACGAACAGATTTTGAGTTCTTGCCCTTGTGTAAAATTGCGGCAAAATTTGATTGTGGGTTAAAAAAAAACTACAATTTTCAATCGATTTTGATGAAATTTGGTTTGAGCATTGGAAATGATGAG